CATTGCCACCTACTTTAGTAGTATAAACATTTAAACGTAGACAATCTTCTGACATTATCTTGCCACCAGGATGAGGACAACTGGGTCCTTCTTCGGTTGCATCGAAAATGTTTCGCCAATCGTTCGCTGGTATTGGAGGCTGGAATAAAAATGCAGTAAAACTGTTAATAAAATTTAAATAATTTGGAACACAGTAAGAAAATAGAAATATAGCTCAGAAACACGACGAAACGGTAAAAAATATAATCTTGTTGACTATGTAATCAGCAAAGAAATTATTGTGCACTTTATGATTAATTTCTTAGAATGTGCTTTACTTTCAGATAATGTATCGTGGAAAACAAATAATTTATTAACCAATTTGTTATTAGAAAATTCAACACTCTATTCCCGCGAACTTGCTCAACGTTAAAATGGAAAAATTAGTCAAGATATTCTACAAGTAATATTAATGGGAATACTATTTTCATGTTCCAAATTTCACGAATAGTTTCTGTAGAAAAATTGAAGTATGTATTTATAATGTTACGATAATCCCTAATGGATTTATAATGGCATAAGTAACGAGGAAAATACAAAATTTCTTACTTGAAAACGTTGCTGTCCAATAGGTGGCTCGCCATATTTTATACCACGAAACGAATAGATCTTTCTACCAAGTCTAGAGGTGAAAATAGAACCGCGAATTTTCCCAATTGGTGCAGTGACCAACGGTTGCTCTTCGGTCGATTGTTGAGCAATAGCAAGGCCACTGATACAAAAGATTATCAGAATGCCTTTCATTTTAAGCTGGAAGCTTTATTTGTCTTGTTCTTGAAGTAAAAGGCAAGTTGATAAGAACGAGTTGATCCGATTAACCAACATACACGGTGCTTATACGAACACTGGAGAACTCGATGGCAAAAGCGAACAATTTATAGGAGAGCTAGGAGGAAAAGTTAGTGGGGAAATCCAATTACCTTCCTGCGAAGAATAATAATCTTTTATAAACTCTTGAACAAGAACATTTCTATTTGTCATTCGAATTATTTAGAATTACATATTTTTGGATATTTTCCAAATATATAAATATATAATTTTCCAATATATTTTTACCTTTTAGAACAGGTTTGCTAGTGTGTACAAAGCTAGACCATACATAGATATATATAATTCCACCATAGAAATTTTAGGTGCAATTTGATTAAAGCACAGAAAATTTTTTTTTTATAGAATACATATTGCACAACAAATTATTACCACTAAGTAAAACCAGTAAAATTCACCAGGAAAGTCTGTATAAAGTCTGTATAAAGTCTGTATAAAGCTGTCAGTTTATTATTTATAATTTATTGTATTGATAACATTAGTTGATTACTGATTATCATTAATATTAGTAGTAACATTATTAAAAATTGCACATTACTCATTCTCTTTTTCTAATTGTGTTCATAAAACTACGAATTTGCATAAGTATTACTTATTAAAATTAATTCCATGCAAAATTTCCTTTAAATTTCCCCCTAAATGCCTAAAAATCCGCAGTTGATTTATAATCATGACTCAAATCAACTTGCAAACGACTGCACCGCCAAATTCGTCTTTTGTTATCACAAACATAACTAGAACTTGATTAAACTTTCCTTGTCAAATAAGATTGGTTGAGCAGGTAGAAATCATTCCACTCCTGAAACCTTCAGTTCCACAATACAACTGGATCTTTGTATTATCCCTGAAACGCAAAGAAAAAAAAAATATTAAAAACTTTCAACTATTTATTCAATCTGCAATATTATATGAAACCAATATCTGTTTAATCATCAAATCATAAGAAAAAATTCTCCTTTTAGATACAAACTTTAACATATATATATAAATGCTAAACTGTGGTAAACTATACACATAGTAATTTAAATACAAACTAACGAAAAATTGATGTATTCGTTCTTGAAGTAGAGCAGAAAAATAATTGTCACATTATGCATATTAAAAATGCAAATTACCCAACGTAGCTAAACAATTATTCGCCGCCCAGTCACCAAAACCATGTCATGGTCGTGCAAATAAGTTAAAAGCCTCTGAACCGAAAAGATATAAAAGCTAACTGGGGTTTTACAAGGGAAAAACGGCAAAATAATGGCAACGATACATTTTCATTTTTCGATGGTAACTACAACGTTTAAACAGTGAGACATTCCATAAATCACAATACATTCTACATCTCGATCCATTAAATCACGCTACGACCAGTAAAAAGCAAGGCGTGCTTTTTTAGCGTAGACGTTCAAACGCAAGCAGTCTTCAGAAATCGGTTCGTTACCACCTAGATTTTGGACATGAAGGATCCTCTTTGCTTTTGCGTCAAAAGCTCATCTTTCCAATCTGCCGCTGAAACAGCAACCTGAATCGTGAGAAGATTATAAGAATTATTCCCACCGGTGTCCCATAAATACTCACGTACAAAGGAAACACGCGGAGAGTTGCCTTTGTTTGCACGGTTGAAGGCTGACGATAAGTTTAACAAATGTCCACGAGCTAGGATCTTTCCAGGATTAATAAAAATTACGCGATGAATGAGGCGAAGAGCAAGGAAAAAAAAAAAGAAAAAAAGACTCACCTGAAAACGTCGTTCTCCTGTGGATGGCTCGACGTATTTCACACCGCGGAAGGTATAAATCTTCTTGATGTTAAAAACGGAGCCGCCGATCCTGCCGATCG